AAAAAAAAAAAAAAAAAAAAAAAAAATGAGAAAACGATAGATATAATAGTCATAATAAAAATCATGGAAAAAATATATAATACCCTAGACTCTTCGGCAAGCATGGCATTCATGTCTTGATCGGATATAGCTGGCATCACTTTGATATCTGCATAATAACGTTCTACCCACTCTTTGTACACTGGAATGTCCTTTGCATATAGTAATTTAGAACTTGGCGAGTCCTTACCTACAATCACAGAGAATTAAACATCAACGTATCCAAAATTCAAGAAAAATCTCAATAAAAATGAATTCACTCGATACGTACCTAATCTATGATCCGAGGTGGAACAACTGTCCATAAACGTTTGCGCGACGACGGACAGACACGAGTCCACGATATTCGATTTATGTATATCGAAGATAAAGTTTGGGTTTTTGATAAGATTCACCCAAAACCTGAGCGGAAGCGAATTACTCTTCCATGTATGAACTACTTCAGGATCGGATATGCCGTGTTGTAGCGCTTGATCGTCCATAAAATCGAACATGTATTTAATCGCGAGGGGAAGGGCCGATCCCCGATGGGCAGTGCTAAAGATTGTTTCGAAAAGGTCGTCCACGAATTTTTGAAGAGTACCCTTCGTCGCTAGTAGCCTCGTCAAATAGATTTCCGACACCATTTTGTTTCCACGGTCTCCTTCCTTTCGTGCATCGGAGTCGTGGTGTTTGACGAGATGCCAGCACTTCAAACCGCCGTCGTGATTCTGATTCAATGGCGATGTGGCACGGGAGAGCGGCGGGCTGGCTGAACTGAATTTACTAAGGTTCAGGGTTTCGTATTTGTGCGATTTGTCCGTTTTCTCGGAGAGGATCGATAGATTGTAGATAGACGATTGTTTGGAGACTAGGTTGAGCGACGCTCCATCTGGTACCCTGTAATGGTTCAACGTGTTTCGCTTCTTCCATTCACCTTCCGTTTTTGTAGTCGAGTCTTCGTCGTAGAGGATCAATCTGCCGGATGCCCCAGTTCGCCATTCTGTCGAAACAATGAACGCATTAGACACGCGTTATTCATACACGACGTTCGATCAAAACTTTTGAAATCTTACCAAGATCAAGATCATCTTTCCTCGGTCTTTGGCTGTAAGGCGTGGCTCTGTAGATCGTGTCCAAAGCTTTCTCCTTCACTTGAGATATCGTGTCACAATCGAGAACCTTGACTGGAACGTTCTCCGTGTTTGGATCCATACCACCGACGAAGACCGTTTGTTGGGATATGGATACATAGACCGTCTAAAAATTCAATTTTAAATGGATATATAGAAGAATTAATCATAGTGGAAAGAGGAAGATTTCGTCAAGATTCTCAAGTAATTCAGGATAAATACCATTGGTTTGAAATCGATGGACTGCCTGATCAGTTTCTCTTCCGACAATGAATATCGCGCTTCGGATGTAATGGCATCGACTGGACCCTTATCGACTTGTTGTTTCACTGCACGAAATAGCACGTACAATGGTTCACCGGCGCATTCTCGCATGAATTTGTACAGAAGGAAAGTGAACCAAGCTGACAACATCTTTTCAGCGACGCTTTCCGTTCTGAAATACAAAACGTGCACAGATTACAGAAATGCGAGAAGAATTTAAATAATACCCTTCCCCTTTACTTTCCAACTTACCGTCTAAGGAAGAGTTTCGGATGGCTCTTTCCCTCTGTACATTTCTCTATCAATTCCGCCAAAAGAGTCTTTAAGATGTCCGTACAATATTCCATCTTACTCTGAAGCGTGACCATAATAAGACTAGCTACGTTCACTCTATCCCTCATCGAGAAGTAACGATTGCTCTCGAGAGTTCTTACAAAAAGGAGTAAAAATGTCTTATTCATTATCAACTGTCCAAACAGACGCAGTCCTTTCTCTTTGCGCGCCAATTCCGGCCTATCCCATTGCAACACGGGGCTATTGTCGTCGCTTGGGAACAGTATCATCATGGCGTAGGTTCGATAATCCAAGAAAGGTATCCCTCCGCTGGTCAGGTCACCCGTCAAATCCGTCATCTCCGTTTGCAATTCGGCGAACGCCTCCTTGCACTCGGCAGCGACACGAAGTTCCAGAATATCCATCTGCTCCTGCATGTTCTTCAACACCCGATTGCTCTCCGTGGACTTGCGTCGATACGCGATGAGAAAGGCGATGAACACGACTACTAGGATTACTATAGCGGCGATCACCCCGAACAGAGCCGGTTTCGATAGCGGCCCGTTCAGACCTGCTGGCAGTGCGTAGCTCAGTTTCCCTATATTGTAACGAAGTGTGCCGCCTACGATCACTATCACTTCGGGCAGTTCTTGCTTGTTCGGGAAACCGTCGGAATCGATGGCCGGCGGTTGCGTCAAAGGTGGTCTGCAAGTGAGCTGCTGCCTGGACAGCGAGGTCACGTTGCAGAACGCATTTCCTATTTGCACCGTCACGTCCGATTCTTGACAGGCGCGGTCTAAATGTTGGCCATTGATGGTCAAGTAGTCGCTCTTGTAATACTTGATCTCCTCGTCGAACACCTCGTAGATCGGATTCGGATAGAGGAGAAAGTGATTGAATCCGTGCTGCGACAGATTCTGTACGCCCGTCACGTTGTCCATACGGAAACCGTATTCCAACATGGCTGGTTTCTCAGCGTCCAGGACAACATTGTCCGGAACTTCGATAGTAGGTGACTTACAGATCATGCTCTCTTGACTGTGCACCTCGCACTGCGAGACGAACATCTTCTCGTCGTAGTACACGTACATCTGGGGGCTCTGTATGTAGCCCAGATTCTTCCCGGTCACGGAGATCTTTATTCCACCTGCCGGGATCCCTTTCGGGATCTTCATTTGCCCGGCGACTCCGCTCTCCACGCTCTCGATCGTCGGATCGTCCGCGTATTCGAACGTCCCGCTGTAGATTCGAAACGCGCCGTCGAACGTCATCTTCACCGTACCGTTCCTCTTGTGATCACTCGCGCTGGTCATGCAAAGCGCCTCGTTCATCTCCGCGCTGATTATGGAGCACGACAGCTCGTCGATGAACGCCTTGATCGTGCTTCCAGCGTTCATGTACTTTCCCGTGATCCTAACCGTCGTTCCACCGCTCATCGGCCCGTATTTCGGCGATATCGAGAGGATCTGAGGGTCCACGAACTCGAAGTTGTACTCCGATGTTCCTCTGAAGTCTTCGATCTTCACGATCACCGGCCCGCGTTTGCCCTCAGGTGTACCTGGACCGTCCACCCGGCACACTATTTGTTTCGTGCGCATGTACAGTTCCTCGTACGGCTGGCATCGTAATCCGCCGACCATCACGCCGCGATAAATATCCTAAAATTGATATTCACGTTTTCTTTCTTTCGCCGACGACAAATATATTCGACAACAAATATTTCTCGATATTTACACGAACAATACATATATAAGAAAAATTTTTCTTCCTCGAAAATCTCGTTGAACGGAGAGGTATTTTTATTTATTCTCACCTTGAACGTCTGGCCCAAGTTGATGCCGCGTATCGTCACGTTCGTGTTACCTTCCCAAGGACCCATGACCGGCTCGAACGAGTGTATCTCGGGATTCGGACAGGTCTGATTGCTGTTCAACCACATGCCGATGTTACGCTCGCAGTTGTCCTTCACCTCGCATCTGTCCGTGCTCTGGCACCATCCGCAGTCGTACTTGGGAGCCAGGGTCAGGCACATTCCGCAATTGTCGGCCATGTCACGGCACCGGTATATCACCAGATGTATGTTGTGCGGATTGTCCAGCGGTTTCGAGCCGCCCCATATCACGGCGAACGGCACGGTGATGTTGGGGGCGCGGGACGTGTACGAAAACTCCGTCTCCTCGCAGTAAATCGTGTCCGCGAGCAGTCGAGCGTTCACGATCGTCACGCGGCCCTCTATGTTGAACTGGCACACGAAACGGGTCTGCACGATGAATTGCTGGAAAGATCACGTTTCGCGTTAGATTACCCGCGTCGATCATCTCGCACGCTCTTTTCATTCTTCGTCGAATATGACCGACGATACGCGCGAGAGCGAAGAATTTAGGAGATTTTTAAGATATTAGGAGCGTTGTTGTTACCTACCCCGATGATGTGCACTTTAACCCGTATCACCTTCTTCACGCCGGAAGAAACCAAGATTTCCTGGGAATCGGTCGCGTTCAACGTCGGGCAGAACGCTGGCCCGCTTCTGTAGCTTGGGCCAGTTCTCTGTGAAAGACAGAAATAAATTTTCGATCGATCGAAACGAGAGTTGTGGAAAGGATTCGTATTAGGATATTAACAGGTTTCTGGATGGGTTTACGCGTTTCGGATTGGCTCGATTTCGATGGCCAATAACCATCATTCAGTCGTTAAATCGAATCCCCACTTACGCTAATTCCCGTGACCAATATATCGTTCCGGCAATTCTCAGCTGTGTCATGCGTGCACCTGTGCCCGTCCACGCACCAGTCGCAGGGGAAACTCGATGACACGCACTTTGTGCACGAGCTGTACGTGTTGCAATCGAAGAAGGTGAAATTCGTGTCGACGAGGTCGGGCCCGTTCGTCATTCTGACCGAAAGTTTCGCGGTGAAGTGATGCTGCCCCTGGGGGATCGAGGGCAACAGATCCGTCCTCGGCGTGGTGCAGTTCACTCCGAAAGATTTTCTCGAGGCGTTCGTGATCAGGGTCTTGTCCAGGGTCGAGAACGCGCAAAGAAATTGGCCGGAGAGGGTTGGCAGGTTCTCGATGACTAACTCTAGGGTTCTGGCGGTCGTGCGCTGCAATTGATCAGGTGTGACGGTCGTGATGGTCGTGCATCTGCCGCTCTTGTACGAGATCCAATACAGGGGATCTTTGGCGGCGTCCTGGCAATCGCTGCGCAGATTGCATTTGTTCTCCAACGAGCACCACCCGCAATACGGATCCTTGGCACCCAGACAGTCCAGACAGGTCTTGTACACCGAGCACTCCTGCACTTTCACCTTGGACACGGTTTTCTGCGTCATCACGTACAGGTGCATCAGCTGCGAGTCGAACAGCAAATCCGGGTTCACGGGGGAACCTGGATCGATCTCCAGATCTCCGTATTCCAGCGCCAGGGACGAACTCTCCACCACAACCTGCAAAAAAAGAAATAATCTCCATTAGAGTCGATGTTCTCGATTGCGTAACGCTCGATATGCCCGAGATACGCTCGAAACTCGACAACCTTGCGTACCTCTTTCTTTTTACACCTTCTCACGGATAATTGCGAAAGTCGAACAACTGGTTTTCGCTTCGCATCCAATATAATCGCGATGTAAAATCGAAGGATCCCTTCCATCTTTTCGTCGATTCGTAACGCCATTATACGCAAATACCGCGATACCGTTCGCTTTTACGATTTCCATCCACGGGGAAGCGGAGGATCTTCGAGGCCAATGAATCCGAGCGACTCTGGACAACTTCGTTGAATCGATCCTGATCGCTCTTCTCCCTGATTTAATTGTCAGGGAGCGGAGTCTAAACTAAATAAAGAGCGGAGATATCGCGGCTGGCTAACTCAATCCTCCTCCCTTTTTTTTTTTTTTTTTTTCCCTTCCAACCGTTTCTTCCAGGCTGCTAATTCAATATGGTTTATTCAACGAAACGATGATACAGGCTGATATATACCCCGACGCGATGAATGAAACATTTACAAGGGTTTCATGGAAATGAACGCGTCTCGTTTCCATGTTTTTTAAATATTAATCGCTTATCACCGCGCGCAACATTCAAACGCACGTTTCCATCTCTCCCACGCACCCTCTCCGCCCCTCCTCTGTTTACCTTCGCGTATCCCACCCACGGTTTCGATTCGTTGTTTCGTCCACGATTGATTCGCGTAAAAAAAAGAAAGAAAACAACTTTAACTTCGCGAAATTTACGCCCCATTATTCGTCGGGACGTTTTCTCTCTCGAGGCAGCGGCTCGAAAGAGAGAGGCTCGTTCACAGTCGCGGCGAGTTGAATCTAATACGGGGCCGACTAGATTTCGCTCGGGCGACCACGACGATGATGGAACGTTTCCCCGCTAGAATTACACCCGCTTGTCTAATAAAAAGACCCGGGTACATCCCCGGGACCGTGGCGGTGAATAACAGTAATCGTCCGATGAAGATGATAAACTGGCCGCAAACTTGCTCTTAAAGGGGTTCTAAAGATTCCATCGTTATACG